GATGTAGACAGCCATATAATCTACAAATAGGATAATTTTATTTATTCCTTTACAATCTGTATGCCTTTTATTTTCTCTACTTGCCTGTACTGACTAGAACTTTCAGCACTATGCTAATTAAGGGTGATGAGAGCAGACATCCTTACCTTGTTCCTGATTTTATGGGGGAAGTATTTAGTAATTTATCATTAAGTATAAATGTTTGTTGTAGGATTTTTGTAGACATTCTTTATAAAGTTGAGGAAATTCCCCTCTAGTCCTGCTTTTTGAGTTTTTATGATGAATGTGTGTTGAATTTTGTCAAAGCTTTTTCTGTATCAATTGATAAGATTTGTAACTTTTTTCTTCATTAGCCTGTTACTATGGTAGATTGCATTGATTAACTTTTAAATATCCAACCTGGCTTGCATCCCTAAAATACACCCCACTTGGCCATGGTGCATAATTATTTTTATAGATTGCTAAAATCTATTTGCTAACATTTTGTTAAGGATTTCTGAATGTATTTTCATGGCAGATATTAGTCTCTAGTCCCNTTGAAAGTGTTCTTCCCTCTTCTATTTTCTAAAAGAATCTGTGGAGAATTGGTGTTAATTTTCTTTGAACATTTGAATTCTTCAGTGAAACCATCTGGGTCAAGAGATTTTTTTTTTTTTAATTTTAAAATCAACAATTCAATGTCCTTAATAGATAATTTGCATATCCCTATTACTGTTTCATAATGAGTTGTAGTTTTCCAATTTATTGATCCATTTTGTCTAAGTTGTCAAATTTATATGTGTAGAGTTATTCGTAATATTGTCCTATTATCCTTTTGACATCAGCAGTTCCTGTATGCAGTGATATTACCAATATTAGAAATGAAGCAGGGGATATGTATGTTCTTTTTTTTCTGTGTCTTCCTTGCTGGAGTTTTGTTAATTTCATTGGCATTGTCAAGAACCACCTCTTTGAAAACAAAATCAGTGAAACAATTTTATTGATTTCCACTCATCAATATTACTTTTGCTTGCTTTGGTTTTATTTTCTATTTTTCTAGATTCTTGAAGTGAGAGCTTCTTAGATTATTGTTTTGAGATTTCCCCTTTTCTCTAATGCATGCATTTACTGCTATAAATTTTTCTCTCAGCATTGCTTTAACTGTTTTCCACAAATATTGATATGTTGTACTTCATTTTCATTTTAATCAAATTTTTTTTCTTGAGATTTTATCTTTGACCCACGGATAATTTTGAAGTATGTTAATTTCCAAGTGTTTGGAGGTCTTCCTGTGATCTTTCTGCTATAGATGCCCAGATTGATTTCATTGTGGTCAGAGAACACAGTCTGTATAACTTTAATTCTTTTAAATTTGTGAAGATCTGTTTTTGGCCCAGGATATAATATAATCTTGATATGTGTTCCATAGGCACTTAAAAAGAATGTGTAGTCTGCTGTTGGTGGAGTGATCTATAAATTGTTTAGATTCTGTTGGTTGATGGTGCTGAGTTCTTTCATATCCTTGATTTTTTTTCTAATGATTCTCTTTATGTTGACTATTTAAAAATACCAAATTACAGATACTACTGCTAAACATACATTTTATTAAGTGCTTATTATATGCCAAGCACTTTGTTATTTAATCTTCCCAGTAACCCAGTGTGTTGCATATTATTATTACTCAGGTTCAGAGAGGTTAAATGCCTTGCTCACCAAGATCACACAGCTAGTAAATGGCAGAGCTGGCATTCCAGCCCAGGCCTGGCTGACTGTTAAATATGTGCTTGTAACCTCTATGCAACCTGCTGTTCTATCAGGATCCCAGAGCACTTGATAAAACTTCCAGTTCACATTTGAGTAAGGGTGTGAACATCACAGTGGTGGCTGTGGGGAAAGTCCCAAAGGGTGTGTGTGGGAGGCAGCTTCTCAGCTGGTCTCCAGGGATTCTCACCTCTTGGTACTCAAGCTCTTGTGTAACTGATTAGGGTCTGGACCTAGTGATTCATTCTAACGGACAAAATCTGGCAAAAGTGATGGGATGTCACTTCTGAGATCAGGTTAAAAGGAGACTGTAGTTTCCAGCTTGGGTCTGCTCTGAGGGAAGACAGGTGCTGTGTGTGAGCTGCCCTGTGGAGAGGCCCACGTGACAAGGAACTGATGTCTCTGGCTCACAGCCAGGGAGGACCGAGGCTGCCAGCAGCCAAGTGATGAGCTTAGAAGCAGACCTTCCCCACACAAGCCTCTAGGATTGGGTGAATGAAGCTCCTGTAGCCTGGGAGGGATCCTGAGCAAGAGGCATCTGGCTAACCTGAGACTGGATTGCTGATGCATAGAAATAAGCTGTTGGTTTTGGGTTAAAGCACCCAAGAGAGAGAAAGCAAAGGCAGAAAGCCAGTCTTTTGGCTTCTGACACTACCCTTTTCTCTTGAGGTTGGAACTCCAGGGAAATCAAGAGATGACAGAGACCATGGACAGATTGGAATAAAAAATGTAAGGAAAAGAGGACCTTTGTGCTGTTTATCATGTGTCTGAGAGGACACCCCCTCACAGGTTCCTGTATGCCAGTTAGGGGACAATCAGAAGTGTGGCATGTGTCAGCCAAGAGAGAGACAGACAGAACATCCTACAGTCTTCTGGGAGGCAGAGAGAGAGCCCAAAGTTTCCCTAGTGTCCCCAGCAGGGATGATAGTTGATATCCTGGGAGCTGGTCATGGGACTTCTGTGGTAAAGGGGAGGTAACTTGTGGAATGGATGCTGCTTGGAGCCACTTTTGGACCAGCCACTTTCTGCCTTCTTTGGGAGACTGAGAATTTAACAAGGAACTGAGTTAGTGCGTAAAAAGCAATGTTCCAATGCTTGGCAGGTTTAAGGTTACTTAACTCTTTAAAGTCCCTATTCCCTCTACCCCAACACCACCATTGGAAATGGCGACTTTAAAGCAAGTGAGAATATTTTTTACAAGCCTGTAATGATCCACTCCACTCACTGCTACCATGTGCCCCAGTGCTTCTACCAGGCCACTGGGGCAAGCAACCCCATGCCTCCTTCTTTCCATTTCTGGTTGCTATCCTGACTCAGATGAAAATGTAAGTGATAAAGTAGAGGGGCAAGCAGCAGCCATAAACAGTGAGGGAGGTGTGGAAAGGGTAGCTGGGGCACAGAAACGGCTAGATATGCCTGCATCCTTGAAGATGGCCTGGTGGAGAGGGAAAAGCCTTTCCTTACTTATCTTTGATGAAATGGCATCTAATTTTCATTGATGCTTTGTGCTCCTGCTCCAAAATCAACTACGCTCAGTGGGCAGCCACCATATGTGCCTCTTTCTTTTTCTGTGGTTACAGTGTCCTCCTCTTCCTTGGACATTTAGCTTGAGTTATAGAGCTGCTGTATATGATTGTACAGATTGTGCCTTGCAAAAATCCAGGTGGTACCATTCTTATTGCATGAGATGATTTGGCAAGTCATCGCTCAGAAATCATTCCACCTCATTACCACTGGATTCTCATTATTCCTATTCATTAACAAATATTTGAAGATCTATTAAGTGCCAGGTGTTGTTCTGGGTGCTGGGGATTTGGCAATAAACAAGATAAATAGAGTCTCTGCCCTTGGTACAAAAAGAGGTGATAAAACCATGAACATATAAAGGAAGTTTAGGTGTTAAAAAGAAGAGGCTGCATATGCGGGGGTTAGGTACAATGTTTGGGAGATCATTTCTTATGTCTTTCATTAATACATAGGACCATAGTCTATAAACAATCGGTGTTTTGTACTTAACCAATTTTTCTTCTTTTTGAAACTTGAGACAGCAGATAATATGTTGTGTGTATACAATGGATATTTAATACAAGGTAAGAGACTTAATTTCTTATTAGCTCCTGCATTTGTCCTACCAGGGTGAAATGATATTTTAAAGAATATGAATTGCTCAATACACTGAGTGGGAATAGTTTGAACATTTCATTATTATATAATATTTATAAAATTAAGGATACTTTTATGGGATTGGTACTGGCAGAGGCAGATTTTTACAAATTCAGTACATCCTTGACATTTGTCAGGGATATTTGCCAAGATTAGGAGAGTCCTCAAAATCCCAAACCTCACCAGGACACATAATTTCCCCATAGAACACAGTGAAATAGAACTGAAATTTTAAATCTCTTTTGGATCCTTAATGGTTTCTCTGTAAGTACAGGGCTAAAAGTAGTTGTAGTGCTATTTTCTGGCTTAGAACTTCCATTTCCTTAGACTTGTTCATTTTCATTACCAGTACTAGTGGTTGGTTTTATTTTAAGTCTTTTTAAAAAAATAAGTTAAGGTTAAAAAACATACCATGAAAGTCATCACATTCTTGATGACAGAAAAATATCTGAACATATTAAGATGTTGGTTCATGAGGCTGGCTCACTCTTGGGATAGGGACCCACTGGATACACTAACCTACAGAAGACTTTGGAAAATGATAAATCACTATGGGTCATTAACAATTAGAATAGTCAATTAAAAATACTGATACTGAGAATGTTAAATCCACAGATGTTACAGGTCTTTGCTATCTAAATTACCAGATCCATAGCAGAAGGGGAAATGCAATTACTTGCTCATCTCTTTATTGTTACAGCATATGTGAGATCATTTTGACAGAGACAAATGATGTAGAACTTTCCAAGCTAAATATTATATGAGAAGCTGCTCTGGAACACCATAAATTTGACTTTTAGCTTTTTGCCATATATCAGCTACTATGGTTGGTTTCTAATTTGTCACAAATTCATAAATGGCTCTGAATCTGAGTTTGCTTGTCTTTAATGAGGGTTGGTAATTCCAACACCTGAGGGCAGAGGTGAGGGTAAACTTGGTCAGGGTTATGACAGGTCTTCATGCATATAAATCAAGGTGTTGTCATTCAAGCAGGCATCACTGGCTTCACATTCCCAGTTTTGTTCCTTGAACAGAATAAAAACACATGGGAACCGCCAACTAGCTGAAATGGACATTGTGTAAAGAGTTTAACTTACTTCTTTTACAAACCACTGACAAAAGGCAGGACCAATCCATTCTCTTGCATGAATACCACAGTCTATCCAGACAGCTCTTTTGTAAGCTCGTGATCTCCTGCCCAGCTGAAAACAAGAGTATTCACAGTAACCAATGCAGACTTTTGGATTTACCGACCAGCATAATTTAATAAGGCTTCGTTAGGTAACACATAAAAGAAAGAAAGATTTTTCCTATCTATTTCAGGAGTCCAGACTTGTTTATGCAGAAACGATAAAGTTATTGCCCTAATTACAAATCAAAGAACAAAAAAATACACAGAAAAATGGCAATCCCTTATATTAAAATAGAGAAACAAACCTATTTAACATGTGACTCTTAAGTAAAAAGCCAAACTTTCCACCTTTCCTACATCCAAGGAATCAGAAATATTCCCAAGGAATCTTTCATAAAGAATGACCTATGTTTTATAGGTGGACAAAGTCAAATTTGATTTCAACAAAATGGAAAAACACAAAACAACTTGAACTGTAGATTCAAGTGACAGATTTTTTTCTTTATAACCCTATTATTATTACTTACAACCTGGTTTCTAACCCAGTAATCAATAGGTGGCTCTTGACATTATATTCGTATGGGATCTAGTTTTCATTTATTCATTAATTCACTCAATGGATGCTCTAGAAAATCCTTTTTAATGTCGGACACTGTACTCAGCACCAGAGATTCAAAGATGAAAGACAGGATTTATATGCTAGTGGGGAGGGCAGACCTATGAGCATTAATCATGATGTGAACATGCATATGTTACTTTGGAAGTACTGGAGTGTTCTGAAACATGTGAACATGCCTAACTTTTCCTGAAAAATAAAAGAGGGCTTCACAAAAGAGGAGCCTTCTTGAACTCTTGAGTACTTGAATAAGACAGGAAGCTTGCCTGGCAGACAAGTTGAAAGAGAATCTGAGCAACTGCTTCTCTGGACCAAGGAAAGAATGGCCGATGGAGCTGGACACACAAAATTCCTGAATAAGCGTGGAGATGGGTGAGAGGGTAGAGGCTGGGGTCTCAAAAGGAAGTTCAGTACTGAGGCCTCTATTGTGACAGCCCAGGGAGAATAGATCCAGAGATAAGAGGTTGGTGCAGATCCAAAAGATACTTAGAAGGATGAATGAATGTTCTTGGTGGTAGATTAAAAACAGGTGGTCAAAATAAAGGAGATGCTCATGTGTTTAGACTGGGAGCAGAGCGGGAGGTGCTTATGTGACTATCAAGGTGAGAACATAAAGCAGGCAGTGATACAACTTTTAAAGCTCCAGAGTGTGGACTCCACTGAATAGCAAATTCTGGAATGATTGTTGAAACCATGGGGTGGATATTCACATCGAGAGATGGTCTGTTAGAATGAGAGCACATCTGCGGATAGAAGCCTGGGATTGCTAGGACCTAAGGAAAGGACAGGGGTGAAGATCCAGAGAAAGACAGGGGAGGAGAACCTAGTGGGTATCCTTGGCCAAGAGAAGGTTTAGAGGAGTGGCGGGGGCGCAAAGGCCAGTGAGTCAGGGTCTGAATAGGAGGCAAGAAAGTAGAGAGTGATGTCTTTTATAAATCTTTTTGAGTGTTCAGCTGAGAAGAGAGAGAGCTGTAGGCCAGTGCCTAGAAGAGTGTACAGAGTCAAGGGCTGGGAATGACTCACACCTTCTTACACATTTATGTAGTTTTACATTGGTTTATCTCAAGTAGCACCAACTGATAAATTATTTTGAAGGCCATTATTTTTTAGGTGCATTAATAACTCTGAGTATTCCAGAGAATACTAACATATTCAATGACTAAGGGGAAATTTTATCTTAAATTATCAGATAATGTTAAATATTAGACACTATGACAGACCATTTCATTTCTTTTTGCCATAGGTCAAAGTTAGAACAAATGTTTAATAAATATTTTAGTTAACAATTTCTTGATTTTACCTTTAAAACGAAGAGAGATCTTCCCTCATATGATTTTCCAATAGAGAACATGTGAATGAGGCCTGAATGAGTAGTGTTCAGATGATGCATCCAATTTTGAATCTAAAAGCAAATAAATAAAGACCATGTCAGACTCCTGTAATTACAGAGCTTTTAGAGAACAAAGGGTAACAAGACAACAATAGGTCTCAGAGCTCAAAGAGCACACATGGAATATAAAATTGAACAAAACCCAATTCTCAACAGTAGTGTTCCCTCTTTAAAGCATACCTTTTACTACCATTTATCATTAATATCTTGATGGCAGAGTTTTACAGAAAATTAGTGTGTTCTGGGTTCCTTTTGAAAATCAAAATTTATTTTCATTTCCCCCCAAGTATTTAAGAGGAAAAAGGAGAAACTGGCTTCAAGAAAGCCATCCAAATTACTTGGAAGTATTAATTAAAGTCCAGTATATTGTAATTTGCTAGTGAACAGAAGATGCTGAGAAACAGACATTATTTTTGCATTTAAAGGTATTCTATTGAGCCACACATCGGAGGGCATAGTCTGAATGAATTCCCCAGTGATAGTGATGCATTTGCATCGATCCTCTCACATACACTTATATTTGAGATGGATGAATAAGGCACTTAGAAAGACGGGTGACATTTCTGACTTGAAAGCTCTATAAGGAGCAAGGAAGTCACACAAAAGTGTCCCACTGTTACATGATGTGAAAGTCTGTGCTGAAAAAATAGAAAAAATATACTTTCCAAAATCTATCTGTTCTTAGTCTAATGAGTCTATGTGCATATGTGTTTATATGTACAAATCTATAGATACATTTTAAAAATTTGACTTTTTCCTAGTTCATGTTCAAAGCACTTCTTTGTGCTAAGTTACCTAAAAACTTTTTCTTGTTGTAACATAAAATATGTAGAAATAATTTTGAAAGGAAAGCCATTATCAAGAGAACCAAAACTTAAGAATATGACGGGATCTCATGAATTCTCTGTCTGGCATTTCTTTATCCAATTCAGAGGAAGCATGGAAAATACAGGTATGCATTCGTTTATTCTGTCCTCAACTATCTATCTGGAGATCTCTATTTGCTTGCCACTAGGGATACACTAGTAAACAAGAAATGGCCTGCTCTCATGGAACTTGCATCTTGTTAGAGAGAAAGCCATTGATCAAATAATCACACATCCATGTGCTATGGTGCATGCAATGTGCTGAGGGTGGAGGGTGGGGAGTGGAGTTCTGATCCAGTCTGGGAGAGGAGAGACAGCTGTCTTCCTGCTTAAGCTGAGACTTGAAAAATGATTAGTTGTGTTGTCCAGGTGAACAGTAAAGGATATGGCAGTGGGAATGAGGTTCCTGTGGTTTTCAGGTAGAATAAACAGCATGTTAAAAAACCCTGAGGTGCCACACATGAAGCTTGTCTTTTGGGAAGTCTCAGATTTGCAGAGGGTGTGGAGTAAGAATAAAAGTTCACTCTACCCTTCAACCAAATCATTGGTCTCAATGTCTGGCTAGCTCTACATTCCATCAATAAGTGTATCAGGCTTGTAAGTTGAGGTCTTTATAACCATAATTATAACAACATTACTTCACTCTTCCAATGCACTTCCCATTGTCCTCTGTAGGCATGGGGGGGGGGAAGGGAGGGTAAAGCAGATGAATTCAAATGATTTTGCTACTTCTTATATAGCAGTTAGTTAAAGGCCTAATGGAAAGAAGGACCAACCTGAGGTGTCCAGGCAATATAAAGAGCTATACATAGTCTACATATAACCCCTGTCTCTGTCTTAGTGCTTCCTTCCCAATCCTTAGATCTGACAAAAATGAATTTTCAAAAGAGCCATAGAAGCTCCTTTGATTACATACTTCTTCTAAGGAGTGATAAACTTCATAATTATATTCAGAGAGGGATCTTCTATTTCTCTGGGTTTGCAAACTGCTTCCCTTTTCCAGTGCTTTCTGAAGATCTTCTATGAGGATCCTGGATTTGAAATGATAGACACAATGAAAATTAAATGGAGACATTATAAAAAATCAGGTAATATCAAAAGAAAATCATGCATCTATGTAAAGAACGCAACAAAGATAGACATTTCTAAGAATACCAAATGTTGGGAAATGTTCTTTTTTAGGACATAAAAACTATTAAATGGTGTAATAAGTATAAAATGTAAAGTTTTAAGCAGATGCTCCATAATAATAATAATAACTACCACTGATTGAGAATCTGCAAGAACTGAATGATTGTGTGTGTAAATACAATTGTATTATTATCTCCATTTTACAAGTTGGGAACCTGAACCTCAAAAGGGCAAAGAACTCGCCGGTGTCACGCTGCTAGTGAGTGCAGAACCAGAATTTGAACTTAGAATGTGAACCCAAACTCAAGTCTTTCGACTCCAAGTCCAGTGTGACATGAGAACTGAAACAAGACGAGCTCTTCCACTCTATCACCACACCCCCCTCTCCTGCTGTTTCTATCTGTTCCTATCCCTTTCATCACTGAGGGACTGTCTCATGTCATCACCCAGCACACCTGAGCCAAGACTCAGGGAGGAAAGGGAAAGGAAGAAACTGAAGAAATACACAGAGTGGGGAAAAAGCGAATTTCACTGCCTGCCAGTCTGAAGAATGCCAAGGGAAGACAAGCTCAGCTAGTCAAAGTGGATGCATTTGGAAAGTGAAGGCTGAGGCCAAGGTGGGGGATTCCAGGGTCACTACAGTGGGTGGAACCAGCTCAGCTGTAGTCATTAGTGTTGATGAGCCATCTGGCCTGGATATAGGCTTGTGTCCCTAATATTCACCCATGTCCTCTAGCTAGAGGTGACTAGCCATGAAGTAACGTGTTCATATGGACTACTTAAAGATGTAGAAGAGCCCCTCAATGATTTTTCTGGGTCTGGCAGATAGCTAAAAAACTTTGCTTTCATAGTTTATCTTCCAAAAGAACTGTTGTTTAAGTGCTATTAAATGACTTTCAAGGTTGCTCTATCTAAGCCACTTCATAAAGAATTATCTTGAATTACCTGAACAAATGCTTTTTGGTGCAGGAGGAAGTAGATTAACTTAGAGTCATGCTGGGTGTAGGATAGTCCTTGTGATGCGCTCACTCATTTACTATTTTACCACCTTGAACAAATATTTAGGAATTTATCATTGGCTTACTGTTATTTCAATTTTTGACTTTAAAAATGGAAACAGATATTAAGATAAGGTAAGGTGACACAAAGTTGGTAAACTTGCTTGGTAGCTACTTGCAGTGGCTCAAAATGTGAGCAGAGCATTTGAAGTCAGTCTGAACACAATCTGTATTAGTGCTTCCTTTCTTTCCTCAAGGAAAGAAGTTATAGATGAAAATAGGCTTGTATGGATTAAAAAGACCTTAAATTAACCTTTATATCCATGTCCAAACTTCCTGTGTTGTGAGAGAACATGGGATGGTCAAAAAAGACGCAAGTTTAATTAGGGCTGAGGTGCTTGGTTATAAACTGTCTACCCTTCCCAGTTACTGTAGGCAATTTTTAGATAGGTTTCCCTGCCTAGTACCATGTCTCCATTTCTCCTGGCTACTTTTCTTTATTTCAGGAAACTAGGGAAAAATTGTAAATAGATTTGCCAACGCCAGTGATCTACACAGAAAAGTTCTCAAGGGTATAAAAATTTTCAGAATGTTTCCAAAATGGAGCTGTAGTGTATTGGTTTTGCAGTATTTCCAATGCAGACTGACTTTCTAAACTTATTAAACAAGTGCAGGTAAGCTGTTTCCACTCAAGATAATAGCAGTTCCTCACATGCATCACCAGAACATTTTGAAATTCTGATGCTGAAAGATGTTTGTTTGGCAGCTCCTGGCAGAACAGACATTGTAAAAAGGAGGTGAGAATTAGGACACAAAGACAGATACATGTAGAGGGAAGATGAAAGGAAGGGACAAAGGAAGACGAGGGATCTGTCCCAGGCCTCAAATCAAAGAAAGAGGCCTGGGGCAGACCCTTCCCTCACAGCTCTCCGAAGGGACCAACCCTGACAACACCTGGATTTCAGACTTCTAGCCTCCAGAATCATGAGGTGATACACTTCTGTTTTTTAAGCCAGCTAGTCTGTGGCACTTTGTTACAGCAGCCCTAGCAAACTAATACAGTCCAATAGCTTGGACTGTACTTTAATACAGGCCTGAGAGATCAACCTGAAAATTAAAATAATTGTGATGTGGCAGGTCTAGCCCATTTTCCTCATCAAGTAGTTGATTGGAACCTAGTGGATTGATGAGAAGTCCATGAAATAAAGCCCCAAAATGGTTTTTGTAATTGTTGTATTTTATTGGATCTTTAGGGCTGATTATTCCTACCCCAATTGTATGCACTCCTATGAACTTTCCAAATGATGTCATCACTTAGTACAAAACCACCTCCTCCAAACTTCCAGGGTAGAAGAGGGGACTCTGAACTTCCATGACCAATTTTTATAGGTGTTTAATTTATAAAATGAGTCATCTTATCTGTTGTATCAAGAGGAATTGATTACCTAGGGGCCAGACACATGGGGTCACATTATCTCTGCTTTAAAGGTGACCATAGTTATACTTTATGTATAGTTGTACAGAGCAAATGATAACCTTTTGAAAATACCCGAGGCTACACTAATAAGTCAATTAAAATGATCTCTACCTACTTGTCCTGTGGAATTTAATGGACTCTTATGTGTTATTATCTTGTGACCAACAAAGGAATAATTCTAAATGATTGCTCTCCATGAGACAACTGGCTTAAAACAGTCATTTTTTTTTTACACTCTATTCTCTGTACATACAGTGTGATATTTTATTCTATGTTAGTTCCACATGACCTATATTTAATGGCAGGAAATAGAGACTTGTTAAAATAACTGCTATATTCTTTTCTACTGAATAATAATTAATGAAGCATGTGAGTTGTTACTGAGCACCTATAGATATAATTACCAAGCTCTTTCCTGCCAGGCATTCAGAGAATCAGTTACAACAATGACTAAAATGTGTTCAATATGAACAATAGCTTTGTGCACAGCTGTGACTATCCTGTTGTAGAAGCACAGATAAAATATCTTACTGAAAAGGCAAATCAGCACTTTAATAAGGCTGTGGTTATTTTTCTGGCAGTGTAGTGAATTAATGAGGCTGGACTGAGTGACTTACCTTTTGTTTGGAATCCTAGGATTCTGGTATTGACAAGCATTACCCCAATTTTTTTTAGCAAGTTTTGGTACTGCCAAAACAAGCACAAAGATCTGTAATGATGCCTGGGACGGGCTTATGGCTCTGGGGGTTAATGGTGAAGGACTGACCAAAGGTGGAACATGACAGTGACATCCCTCCCTGGTGCAAACAAATACCTTCCTGCCATTAGTCAAGGAGATTCCAGAGTGCTATGATGATTGTCTGGTAAGTTAGCCCACTCACCTCCCCCATGGCTACTCCATGAATCGTGCCATCAGCCATAAATGCTCTTCCCCAGAACTCTTAACATCCAATAGCCAATACTATGTCAAGACATCCTTCCTTTGTGTGTTGTCCTCAGTCACACTACACCTGTTTTAAGTATAAAGATATCCATCCCTGCCTTGATTCTTCCACTTTGTCCCATCATTCCTCCCAGACTCTCCTCCTTTCCCCATGGATAAATCCATATTAGACCCCATGGATAAATACTTGAGCTAGTATCTCACTAGGAACTTCAACTTCCCTGTGATCGACTTTTCTGTGGTCGACTTTTCTGTGGTCCTGTCCAATGAAATCTGAACTCTGTATTAGGGCTACAATCTCTATTCTCTGCAGTAACTACTTTTATTGGTCCCCACCCTAGTCTTTCTACTTTGTATATATTAATAACACTGAACTACATCAGTTTCCTGCAAACACACGATGCTGCATCTTCCCTTTGCTTGCATTGTCCCCTCTGCTTGCAAGGTCGAGTCTCATCCTTTCTGCAGGAGCTGTTCTGTTTGGCAAAGCTTCCTCTGTCCCTGTCTTCCCACGCACCTTCTAGGCATTGCTGGGCTGCTCTCCTTTCCTCCCACAGAAAAAAAAGCTGCCTGTGTTTATATTGATCACTTAATGGTGATGGTGAGATAATGTCAGTGTGGTTCCTCTCTCCTCCCCCATTACATTAATAAACTCAAAGGTAAATATAACTTATATTCATGTTGGTTTTCCCAGTTCGATAAACAGTACCTGAAACGTTGTCATTGGCAATCAGTAAATAACCTGAAGACAGCTATCATCCAGTTCAACTTAGCAATGAACTAAGCAATGAAAAAAATGCTTACGTGTATGGGATGCTGGCTTCCTGTAAGAAGGCTAACAAGGCTTGAGAACCATTTTGGGGAATATGGACATCAGTAACTGTTCCCTCTGAGACGTAGGAGATACTGCTGGGCTGCCACAGGTCCACCTATAGTGCAGGAACCAACCTATAATTCATATACATGTAGGTGGGAAAAATCCATGTCACAGTGTGAAACATGTTATCTTGTCTGCATTCAGTAACATCAAACACATTTGGGAATTAGACTCAATGGTTGCATCATTAGGGTAAAATGCCTATTTGATTTTGAATTTGTTCTCCAAATTATATCCATATAAAATTTGATAATTTAAAATAAAGACTAATACATTAAAGCTACAAGATAAAAATGAGATCACAGTTTGAATAATAATGAGAAAAAGAAATATAGAAATTACCCTTTACCCTACTATACAAGCAAACTGTGGTAGTTTGACAATGTTTGGTAACTTTAAATGGAGCATTCTCCAGGCCCCTCCTCCTTCCCCAACACGTGCCTTTCACCAATTCCTACCAGGTCTTCACACATCAATAGAAACATCTCTTTCTCAGGGAGGGCTTGTCAGGTTGGGTAGGTCTCCTTGTCATAGTTCTTAGACCATCTGTGCTTTCATTGCATGACTGCCTCTTACCAGAATGTAAGCTGCATGAGGACAAAGGATTTGTCCATTTGGTTCCCACTCCTCTCCAAGTGCCTAGAACGGTGCTCTGTGCATATTAGCAACTCAATTGTTATCTGTTTCACACATGTAGATCCCACTTGGTAACTCACTATATGTTTACCACATGTTCAATCTTTTGCAGGAAAGCAGGAGCCATGTCTGTTTGGCTTGCTGTAGCGTCCCTACTGTTTTGTCTAGTGCTCTGTACCGGTAAGAGCTCCACAGTTACTGAAAGAATGACTGTATATTTGCAAAAGATACCTCCAAGAAGAGGCTAATATCCAAAAAATATAAAGAACTCATACAACAGAACAATTCAGTTTAGAAATGGGCAGATGGCCTGAGCAGACATGTTTCCCAAGATGACATACAAATGGCCAACAGATATATGAAAAGATCTTCAACCTCACTAGCTATAAGGGAAATGCCAATCAAAACTGCAATAAAAGACCACCTCACATCTGTTAGAATGGTTATCAGTAAGACAGCAAGGGTTGGGGAGGCTGTGGAGAAAAGGGAACCCCGTACACTGCCTGTGAAAATGGAAATTGTTGCAGCTACCATGGAGGTTCCTCAAAAAGTTAAGAATAGATTACCACATGACCCAGCAATCCCTCTCCTGGGTATCGACTTGGAAAAACTTGAAAAAACTTATTCGTAAAGATACAGGTACCCCTGTGTTCACTGCAGCATCATTTGCAATAGCCAAGATGGAAACAACCTAAGTGTCCTTTGGTGGACGATTGGATAAAGAAGGCCTGGTCCATGTATGCGATGGAATACTACTCAGCCACAAAAAGAATGAAATATTGCATTTTATGACGACATGGATGGATCTTGAGAGCATCATGCGAAGTGAAATAAGCCAGGTGGAAAGGACAAGAACCGTATGATGTCACTCCTATGAGGGATATAAAACAAAAAGCAAGGCATGAACAAACAAACTCAGATACAGACGACAGTACGGTAGTTACCAGAGGGCAAGGTGGGTGGAGGACGGGTAAAGAGCAAAGGGGGTCAAATATATGGTGGTGACACCCAATGCAATGTACAGATGACGTACTATAAAATTGTACACCTGAAACTTACATTATTGATCAATGTTACCCCAATAAATTTAATTTTTAAAAAAAGAATGACTGACTGAATTCAGCTGGGAGGGAGGAGAGCGCGACCTTCTGCAAAAGCCTCAAACTGCATTCAGTTAGGTGCAGCTTGTGCAGTCACGTCTGTCTGCTTTGGGACTCCCTCTTCCTGCATTTCCAGTCCTGGTTTGTTGCTAAGTTTTTATCAGATGAGGTTGAGTTTAAGTATCAGTGTCCGCATTCAGTTAGGAACTCTGGAAGACTAAAAATACTTTGTGACTCAAGGGAAAATATACCTTTAGCGGTATAATTTAATCTGGAACAGAGTAGAGAGGCATTTGTTTTGGGGACAAAGAGTCTACCTGTTTTCTTTCAAGCAGCTGACTCCTCCACTAACTTGCAAGGGCAAATCTGACTCAGCTAACATTCTAGTCCAACAATCCCAGGAAAACAGAAGTGTGAGGCTGGAAGGGATGCTGAGAGATCATTTGATCCATCTGTCAGCCCTTGGGCAAGGACACATCTAGGTCTCAATCAAACTGTCCCCAGTAGATGCAATTAAAACACATCTTTTAATCTCCAAAAGAGGAGAGTTGATAACATACTAATTTGATTCAGATCCACCTTTAACAGGACAGCAGACATTTGTCTTAATCTCCTACATGGCAGCACGGTTTCATTTTTCTCTTGTTCCATTCTTCGGTGAGCAATGGCTAGCTTCTTGCCTTTATGAAATAAAACATGTTGGTATCTTTTACTCTTCTTTATATGTTAGATTTTGTAATCCTTTAATTATCTTTGGGACTTGCCAGATTTTTTTTTTCTGATTGTGTTGGTTTTTCTTCTTATATCACTAATTAAAAACTTTATTACAGTTGACATTCAATATGATATTAGTTTCAGGTGTACAACATAGTGATTAGGCATTTATATAACTTATGAAGTGATCACCCCGATAAGCCTAGTACCCATGCAACACCATACATAGTTATTACAATATTATTGACTATATTTCCTATGCTGTACTTTATATCCCTGCGACTGTTTTTTGTAGCTGACAATTTGTACTTCTCAATCCTTTTGCCTTTTCACCCTACTCCCCCTCCCATCTGGCAACCATCATTTTATTCTACAGACATCTTTCTAAAATTAAGGTTTGTTGTCACCCCTTAACGCCAGTGGAGATGAGGAAACTGCCGTATTCATAGGATAGAGAGCCATGGGAAGCTAAAATAATATAAATAACCACTCTGGAGGTGAGTCTGTGAGTGTTATTTTTTGGAGTCCATGCTAAAACAAGAACCCTCATCCCACAGAATAGCTTCCCCCTATGCAAGTTCCATGGAAGGAACCTACCCTACAGCAAGGCCTGGAGAAGGCCTCCTGCAAAACTAACCTATCCTCAGAAAGCGGTTGGTCTAAAGGAAACCAACAAAAAAGAATTTGCAAAATCGGGAATTGGATTTTGTGGTATGAGGAAAGTAAATGAAAATGAACTATCACCTTTTCTCCAGTAATATTTCGGGCAAAGGCTGCTTGGATAAGTAACATTCATATTTCAGCCTGGGTGGCAGGCACATACATATATCTTGGTACAGGGGACAGTAATAATCATGTGAGATTGGTAAAGTGCCACCCGCCTTAACATATTTCTAATCTTTTCAGTAACACCATAAGACAGGAGTTAATTATAGATTTATGAATGAGAAGACTCAGGTTTATGAAGGTCAAGTCTCTCTTCTGTGGATGATCAGCTATGAAATGGTGACACATGGTTTGCCTAACTCAGGTGCTCATAATTTACTGACTGGGTAAGTATCAAGATCTTCAGAGAATATCCCAGAAAACCAAACAACTTTCAACTTCCTGACTTAGGGTTTGAGGGGTTCTAGTTGCTGGGTCTCATACCCTGGTCTCTCCTGTCAGGAGTTATTTGCCCTATAAATTAATATGCAGATATTTAAAAGTTCCCATCAGCCCACTGTGGGCAGGTTACCATCAGTCATTTTCATATGGCCTGATCACATCTAGATGAAGAGATAAATGGTATCTGAACTGCAGAGCTGGGTGACCCTGGATTATGATGGCAACAAAGTATCACCAACCTTGTCTGGATGGTCTAAGGCTGTTTGCCACAATTGCAGGTCTCTGTTGCAAACAACCATCTGAATCCAAGGAAAGGACGCTCCTTTGCGGAACCTTCTGGCCTTGGAACCAGGGACAGTTCAGTGTAAAGATCAAGAGTATGGATTTTGGAATCCAACGACCATGAGCTGGAATGAATGCTAGCTCTGGCAGCATTGGCTGTGTGACTTTGGGGCAGGTTTTAAGGTTTCTGAGCCTCAGTTTCCTCATCTGTCCTGAGAAGATCATTTAAAAACCTACCTACCAGGATTTTCTGTAGGGTTAACTGGAATAGTCAAAGTAAAACACATAGAGAGTCTGCCACACAGTGAAAGCTAAACAAATATTAGCTATCTGTATTGTTTTTGGAAAGCATAAAAAAAGAAAAGCTGGAAGCAGTAAAGAAAAAGTTATAGTTTGTATGTTTCTAATTAAGATGAAGAGTACAGTGAAAATCCCCTTGTTCAGAGATTAAAACCTATAGATGGCTTTAAGGATGGTGGGGAAGCAATAAATAAACCACGAGTATGAACCATGCTGCACTGTGTTCTAGCACAAAGGCACAGAGCTGGGTTTGAAGCCACTCTGATGTAGAGGTTAATTCCCTGGACTCTGAAGCCTGAATCCCTAGGATTAAATTTAGGTTCCCCCAAACACATCTGTGTGATGTAGGGGAAATTCCTTAACCTCTCTGGGCCTCACTGTCTCCATCTGTAAAATGAAGACAATAATTAAACTTCTTGGATAATTAGTATTTGATAATGTTGTGATTAATATTGTGGTGGTGGTATTATTATTGGACTGCTGTAAGAACATGAATTCTAGAACCAGACAGGCCGAGTTTGAATCCCAGCTCTGCCACTTATTAGCTCTATGACTTTGGGCAACTTTAGTTCTGTTTCCTCATTTATAAAATGGGGTTATGAATAGCACATTTTTCATAGACCTGTTAGACTTGAATTAATACATATAAATATTGTCACATTAATATTTGTTTTCCCCATTATCTCCGTGAGAGTAGAAACTGGAATTGTTTTACCCCCTCATCACTGTACCCCGGGGTTCTTGGAACCGTGCATGGCACATTATAGGAACTAAATACTTTGTAGATGGAATAAATGAAACCACACATTTATCTCTTTCCTTAAACATCTATTCTCTCCACAACCGCTCCAGAGCATTTCTAGGTTCCTAATTCTAGTTCCTCTTACCAAGAAATAGAAAATTTTGTCCACTC